CACCACAACCACTAGATCTTGCCCCATAGGCCTTCACAGATAAGAATTTGTACTTAAAAAAAACAATCCAAAAAGCTGAGCCAACACCTATTGTCTTTGTAGACATTCAAGTCACGACCGCGCTCTCTCAAAACTAAAAGGCATACACATAGTGGATGATCTAGTATCTACAACAAACTCAAGTACTGAATTACATTACATCACTAAAATAAAGAAGGGCAGGGATCTAGCTTGCTTTCTGACTCTGTCATACACTTTTGTTACTGCTTTGCATCCACTGTCCATAACTGAAGTAGAGATAATATCAGAGAGAGACTGAAGATGGCAGAAAACTTAAGATTTTGGAATTTACCAAAAATAATTTTTTTAAGTATTTTAATTTTGTGAAATAATAAAGTTAAAACTGCTCTTTCTTAAACATCAGGGTAAAAATGTTTGCTCCTGGATGAAGTAGAGATTGACAAATTCAACCAGACGTCAGTCTGGAGATTTTCACTATTAATATTAATTAGTTTGCTTTACATGCTGCCTTCCCCCCCCAAAAAAGACTCCGAGTAGCTCAAAATAAATCACAGAGAACAGATACAGATAGCAAAATAAAACAGTAAATAATAAAAATAGATGATAACTTTATCCTGGCATGAAATCAACACTTTAATACTCCTAAAATTATAATATAGTATTTCTCATTTTAAGCCGACTGTTCAAAGCAAGGCTGGCTAATGTTTAGGTGTTTTATAATTACCTGGATGCCAGTTGCTTTCTCCAGGCATAGTTTTGTTCCACAACAGAGTTTCTTAATGTGGTATGAAGTCTGAGCAATATGCGCCTAGTATACCATTTACATTTAAGAATTTCCACTGAATACAACAACAGCATGTCCACCGCAGCTGAGACCAGCCTGATGGTTTTGAAGTGTTTGACAATCACATAAAAAGCCTAGTCTGGAGTTAGCAAAGGCTGACTATTCCACAAGCAGTACTCAAAGGTTTCTTGACATTTCAGAAGCCAATCAGAGGTTTGGGATTGCTCTCCCCAGTTCAGTAAGAACGTGAGCACTGCTGAAGAACCTAACAGATTCAAATGATTAAACAAGACAGTTTGTATTTGGACGCTAACAAAACAGCCGAAGCGAGACCTGTTTGCTGGTAGTTTGGATAATCAGTTAAATTAGCTTCACTTTAAACTAAATAGAAAATACTAAACAGAAGGAAAAGGAAAGCTGAAGCAAGCCGCACGTGAAAACAGAAACTAGTTTATGCAAGGTAATCCAAACTGTTGCTGCATCTGTGTGCACACAGAACAAAAAGCTCCATGCCCTCAGCAAGAAAGAAGCTTTTCCTGGCAAACATGGGTTTCAGTCAGCATAAATACTAACAAAAGTATTTTCATGCAAGGTGGGGAGGAAGCCTCTAGCTCTTACAGCTCTAAACGAGAATGGATGCACAGTTGTCTTCCTGGTTCTCCAGAGAGACAGCGCCAGTGCTTCTGAAACTCCTCAGAGCTTTGCCAAGCCACGTGTTTAAGTAAAGGCTCTGGTCTGTTTCATAACCACAGTCAAACCTCGAGGGCTCTGCAATAGCCCAGCCGTAGCAAGAAAGGTTGTCAGCCCAATCCTTTAGAGGCATAGATGCACAGAAAGTACATCTGCTAAATGATGCATTTGAACAGGCATCACTTTACTAAACCTAAAACTGAAGACCTGTTAGGGTTGTTATGATTTTTATATAAATGCCTCACCTAATTTATTATAAAATGCTTTCTTCTTACTACTAGAATCTCTCAACTTTTCCACATGTAAAAGAAAACCCAATACATTCCTAGGCTCCTGCTATTAAAAAGAAAACACACTGGAGGAGGTAACAAAGTTACACATTCCCAAGTCTTAGTTTGAGGCCAAATTAAAACGAAGCATCAATAACAACTATTCCATCGTCAAAATTAGATGGAGAACAAGAGAATGTAGTGATCTAATGTTTCTCTTGCAGTTTGTGAAAATGTCAAAAAAGTGCTTGGTGTAATACTCTCAGCTGGACTTCTGATATATCACATATAAATTTCTGCCTGACCTCTAAGACCATCTTTCTCCTTACTTCCATTTATAAACCTTTAATATAGGATACACAAGTATACTGTGTGTGCATACACACATACATACACACCTACATAGAGTCAATGAGAAGTAAGGCTGGAAAGGACCTCCAGAGCTCATCTAGTCCAACTCCCATATACACGTGTGCATATATGTGTATAATTACACCCCCGCCCCCATACCTGCATGGCATATTATATACAATCACACACAACTATACAGAATATCCCTCTTGATTAAGCAGTACTTCCACATTGCAAATTGATCTCTTCAGACCAGGGGTTCCCAACCCCTGGGCCATGTCCCAGTACCGGGCCGCGAAGGGTTAGCTGCCGGACCAGAAGTGACCACTGACTGGCAAACTGCAGACTGGAAGTGACCACCATACTGTGGACTGGCAGCCAACCCTTTTTTATACTGAGTATAAAAAAAGGGTTGGATGCCTGCCTGCAGTCTGCCTGTCACGGCTGGGCCGCAGTTTGCCAGTCCACAGTCACTTCCGGTCCTCAGCATAAAACGGTTGGGAACCGCTGCTTCAGACCCACCCCGTGGAGCTCAGACTAACAAAATGGTATTGTTACACTAGCTTTTATAGTTAAAGTAAAATAACCAAGAGCCTCCCCAACAAATTTTTATTTTTGGTACTATAATAAAAACTGATCTCACTACTCGTGTGTCCCTTCAATGCCGTCTCAAAGTATTTTCTTAGCTAAGGTTTCTTTCTTTTTAAAATCCTATTCATAACCCCTAATGGTTCTTTTAGGATACGGGCCAGAAACTTCATAAATTCAATGTGTAGTTTCCCAGTTTCCAAAAAAACCGAAATATTCTTAGACTTCTCTTAATCAACTGATGCCAACCAGAACATGATCACGGTTTTAGTGACTTGTCTGGGAAACAGTTTCCTTAACCAAGCCTGTCAAAACGGATGCTTCTTTTGCTGGGGTGATCCGACCCCTGCTGACTTCCTGCTCCACGGGCAGGGGGCTGGACCCGGTGATGGCGGAAGGTCCCTTCCAGCCCTAATGTCTACGAAATCTATAGATAAGGGAGTCATATGCCTGCTATAAGAAATATTGCTTCTCCACTGCACAGGCCTGTCCTTCTAGAGCAGCGGTTCCCCGATCTGTGGTACGGGTACCACCACGGGTACGCAGACAACCGGTCAGTGGTACGTGTCAACAGATTTATTACAATTACTTAGTACGGTATCAATGTGCTGGTGGTACTTAAGGTTGTGTCGTTTTAAATCGGTGGTGTGCGATCGCTCAGTTTGGGAACCGCTGCTCTCGAGGCCAGACCTATCGCCCCCGCCACTGCCCTGTCCGGAACGCCCCGGGGCTCCTGAACTTCCAAGGCCTGAGACAACCTCTGGCAGCCGCTCCAGAGCTGCGAGGTCAGTCACGAGATGACAAACCAGGAGAGGCCCTTGCTTGGCAGAGCAAAGTTCTTCTGGTTAACAGCTTCCTCTCCAGCACCTGGGCTGCGAGGCTCAGATACGCTGTCTAGTCAGGGACGGACAGCAGCGAGCTCACAGATGCGGGTCAGTCTCAGAGTTGCCACTTTCTGGTCAGTTCTTCCCGGAGCTGACAGGTCACGGGGCCCGGCCGATGCATTCGGGCAGGAAGCGTGCTTTATTTTGAATCCCAGCCAAGCCACCCC